AATATCGAAAGTATATTTTCAGTAAACAAAATAAATATTATATGGCAGAATTACAATTGTATGAATGCATTACACTTACACAGCCACACACACACACACACACACACACACACACACACACACACACACACACTCATGCAGAGACACACAGACATTGAGCTGCCACGCCCAAAACTGTGCGTGTGTGTGCGCGGAGTTGGGGCTTGGAAAATTTGGGTCATCTACGAAAATGGCGTTGCCTTTGGCTATAAATTGGTCGAAGAAGTGATGGGGGCGGGGCGGTCGGAGGGCATATGTAGGGGGGCTTGGGGCGTGGCAATAGCAATTTCCGGTTTGTTTTCTTTCAGTTCCGACAGCGCCAAGCGTAAATTAGTTGAAAGCGCAGCAAAGCTGAACTCAACCATCCCCCTTCCCCCTACCCCATCAAGCCACCATCGTGAAGCATCCCCCCTGGCCGCCCTTGGCCATCCGGTCCTTACGATCCGATTGAGCAAAAAAGAGGAAAATTCTGCATAATCAGTTGCTTATTATAAATTATCAATGATTATTAATAAGAGAAAAGGAAAATGCTTTGTCAATATTTTCGTAATACTCCACAAGAGAACGGAAAAAATTAGAATCCCCCGCCGAAAGTAAACAGCGAGGCGAGCGCTTGATTGGATTTCAGCAAAAATCAATCAACTTTTCAGTTGGCCTCCTTCAGCTGCTCAGTTTGGTCAACAACTTAATATTGTACAAGTATTCCGGTATTATTTGGCATAAGCATGCGCCTCATGCAAGTCATTGATAAAGCCAACAAAACAAAAAACTGAGATGGGGGACATAATACACAAAAATAAAATGAATATAATATTTTGTATAAGCCGCCGACTTGCTGCAGAGCGCTCAATTTTGTAAGTTGACTGAAAAGGTTTATCATTGCATTAAGAGAGACCCAAAAGTTGGTGCGCCTCGAGAAATGATGATTGAATGCGAAGGTAAAATAGAGTCGAGCTAAGGCCATAACGAGAGTAGTAGGCGAAGGTAAAGCTGATTTGTTTTCGAAACGGGCTATGGAAATTTAGAAAAGCTTCTTCTCTTTATGCTTTCATTTTAAAATGCTGGCAATAGATTAGCCGAGAGATTGAAATATCATTCTATCTCATTCTTATACGAAAACTGCGCAGTGTTTTCTGTATATTGAAGTGATTTAAAGGGATAACCTAATATGAGTACATGACTCTATGTGAATTATGCCATGTTTTTGTACAGACTTGACTAAATAGGCAGTTTACTGGGGTCCCGACAAATGAAAGAGAACGAAAGAGGTAAGGAAAGAGAAGGGAACGGGCTTGAAAAAAGGGATACCCAAATTAAGACTGGCCTAAGGCCCCGTTGAGGCTTTTATATACACAGCAAGGTCTGAGTAGGTGCAATGGAGCTGTATTATATCTGTATTATGTACTCATTTATTGAGTAGACTAAACTTGGATGTACTACTGAAGGCAAGGCGTGATATTTGAGAAACAGAGACAGCTATAGATTCCTCAACCTGTGGGATTGGGTAGCGCCTTTTGCCTTCCACCGACAAATTCAGTTTCTGGAAATGCTGCAATACTATCTATTATAAGCTCTGCCCACAGATTGATTTGCAGTTGGCTTATCATGTGTTTTGTCAGACATCTATGGCATGTCCTGAGAAGCTGATTAACTTCCCGTTGCAGACGCTAAGCAATGACAAATCGACTAATTACTGCTTACATTCCGATCTATCGGATGTGTAGGCGCTTCACGAGCGCCTATCCCATTATTAGGCGATTAATTGATGTCGCGTGTGGGTTTGGGTGGGCAGGGAGAGGGGGGTTTTCCTTGAGCCGAGTGCGGTGCTCTGTCTGAGCGCCATGTGGTAAGCAATCACTTCATTCTTTTGTGACACAGCCACGCCTTTGTGCGGCCGGGCTGGTAATCTTATAAGCATACAACTCTTGAGACCCCCACCAAGTGAGCGGCTCATTTGGCACGCATTATGGACTGTTAATTAAAGGAAATTTCCGGGGTGGAGCCCGGCTTGAGTTTGGGTTGGAGTCTTGGGCTTTACTTACGTTGCAGGGCAGATAGGCGTGTGTGCCCGCTTGGCTAATTATTGTCTGGTAATCATCTATTGTTGGCGGTGGCTTTAGCGTTGTCCTTGGAGCCGGCCGACGTGTCGTTGTCGTTGTGGCCGTAGTTGTTGTTGTTGTTGTTGTTGCAGCTGTTGTTGTAGTTGGTGTGGCTGCGGTTGCTGTAGTAGATGCTGTCGATTGCTCCATTGTTGCCCCAGTCATGACTGCTCCATCGACTGTGGACCCATTGCTGTGGGAGAACAATGCATTGTGCTGGGTGATTCTGTACTTGTGCACATATGGGTCCTGCTGCTCCACACTCCTGTTGCTCCTAATAAGATTTGCTTGCAGCACGGCTGCTGCCGCCTCCTGCCGCTGCCCCTGCCCCTGCCCCAGTTGCTGGCGATCGTCATTGTTGCTAATGTTATTAATGCTGCTGCGGCTGGACAATGCAGTTTCCACAATTGCCGTTGTTGCTCCAACTGCAACTGCAACTGCAACTGCAACGGATGGCTCCGCATTTGTCTGCGCGCCTGCTTCCCCATCATTTGCTTTCACAATTTGCGTTGGCGCTGTAATGAATGGCAACGATTTTGCCAATGTCGCCGCTCTCTTTGATTGACTTCTATGAAATGTGCCGTCATTTATTCTGTCGCTCCTTAATATTGCCGCCTTCAGGCCGCCTAGAAAGAGAGAGAGAGAGAGATAGATAGAGAGATGGGATATTGTAAAGCAAGACGCATTGTAAGCCATAAATTAATGAATTTGTGTTTTGTTGGGAGCTTGGCGCTTAAGCCGCTTACATATTTCAACTGCCCTGATCCCATTTATCTAATATGCCCGCCAACAATTAAAACGAGTTCAATAAATTAATCAGCGCCCAAAACTTGAACAGGCTGCACCACTCAACCACTCAGCCATTCTGCCCAGACGTTCTCAATTCGCTCGCTTGCCCTCTCTCTACGCATCGCAGCTATTTCAAATTAATTAGCTAATTACCTTCAAGGACGGCCGGCGAGTGGATTTTTGTATTGATTTGCATAATTTGGGCAAGCAAAGGCGACAGACAGCAGTCATGATATACGCAGGAAGCGGACCAAAGGCCCATCTAAATCGAGCCCGGGCCGGAAGGAAAACTTGCTCAAAAGTTTATTCTAAACAGTCGAAAGGGACGAGGGCCGAGCGTTAAGTAGAATCATAGAAGAGCCCATTGAGAGCCCTACTAGAGCTCAGCTCTGAATTGCTTTCAATTATAGTTGCTCTTGGTCTGGGTTTTATTAATATAATGCCTCTCAATTATTTCATTCCGCACACGCTAAATTGAGAGTTGTTTATTATAATTGAAAGCATTTTCATAAAAGAACAAAATATATTAATTATTTGAGTAATTTATTTGAAATGTATAAAGAAATATTCTTTCTGAGGTGTTTGCTTCAAGTTCTATCAAAATCAATTATATTTATAGTCAGAGTCTTAAGCCTCACTCGAATATTTAATTAGACTATTTAAATATTTCTACTACTGTACCACAAATATTAATAACAATTTTTTTTTATAATTTTATAAAATATTAAAAAGTTTATTAATTATTCAACTCTAAGAGTAAAAACCATATAAATTATTTTTAATCCGTAATAAAGTCTAAAATGTATTGAAATATTTCAGGCACTAAATCATCGATAGACACATATACATTAATACATGCTCATCTCACTCTCTCTCTTTCTCTCTCTCTCCCACTCGCTCTCTCTCTTTCACTCTCTCCCTTTTCGCCAGCTATTAAGCAACAAGAATTGCAATAAAATATAAGAAAATTGGTCATAATTTATGCACCTATGACACTTCCTGCCCACCTGCCCGAAAAAAAAGAGAGTGGGCGTGGCTGGAGCTGCAGTTGCGCGTAAATTTGCCAAATCGACGCCATAAATCTTGGTAACGAAACTTTCCGGCCCGAGCAGCAGTACGGCGAACCGAGGAGTTAAAGCGAGAGCAAAGTGTGTCATGCCACAGATATAAAGACGAGTGCCACATGCTGCATGCCACATGCAAGCGCTGAGATTCCCTCAATTTAATTAATACTGAGTGCAGTTTGCCTTTTTACCCATTTCCTTTCTGTTTTTTCTTCTTTCCAAAAATTACATACTCGAAAGTTCGCCGAGCTCTTTGGAAACTTTTGTGCCCGTTGCACTTGAGCGGGGCTGCTGGCCCATTGGCAGGCAGAAGTTATTTATCGTTAATTAAGTAAAGCGCTGCGCTGCGCTGCGAAACGAGCAGCAACTGCCTAAGAGATTGCCAGCTATTGAGCATCTAAAAGCCAGAGTCAAGAGCTCCACGGCTATCTAAGCCTGGCGCAGAGAGAAATGCAAATGCTTCGAGCAAATGCAAAATTCGCTGACGGCCATAAACCAAATGGGTGTATATATATGTGAGAGTGAGAGTGGCTGTGTGTGAGTGTGAGTGTGTGTGTGTGTGTGTGTGAGCATGTTATCATGTTTTATGTTTATGCGGCGTGTACGTGCAATAAAGATAAAACGATTTCATATAAAAACTTTTTAATTGCCTGCACTAATGATGCACTGCAACAACTTGATCGTCATAATTATTATTATTATAATAATCAAGTTGCCCGCTCCAATTGTACAAGTGGCCGCAAAGTTGCTCCACGTGCCAAAAAATAATTAAATCGAAATTTATATCAAACTCAGCAAGAGCAAAGTTTTAAATTAAATACAAAACTTGACTGCAAATAGATCAAATTGAATAGCAAACCTTTTTTTTTTCCCCTATAATTAATAATTTTCTAAATCACATTTGCTGAAATTCCACACATTACATTTGGAATCTATTTTCTGGGAAATATTTATTTTCAAACCCAATCGAGTGAGCAAATTCATCAAATATTGTTCTATTTATATGTAAATTTAAAGAGTTTCATATTCACAGGGAGTCAAAGACAGAAGATTAAATTTAGATGATCAGAAACAATGTGGAATCAAATTATGTGAAATATGCCGTTTATTCATTTATGCATACATTCCTTCTAATCTCAGCGTTTAGGGGGCTAAATTCCTTTCGCTTGATTCCGAGAATGTGGCCCACGGTGCGCTGCTCGCCGGCAACGGCAACTCATTAACCGCAAACAAGTTAAGGGCCAAACAGCTGTCGAGTTGCTCGAGTTCAAGGCATATAAAAGCGAAACATGAATATGCCCGCCTCCCCCGGCTCCAAGTGCTGCCAGGGACGCAGCAGAAATGAGGCAGGAGCAAATCAAAACAGCGTAAAAAGACGAACAGAGGGGAGTTGCGGGAGCAGAGCGAAACTGCAATAAAACAAGTGAATTACGCGTGAGAGACGCGCCGAGCGAAAAGAAAAACAGAATAATAAAGAGGGAAAATTAGGAAAAATATCACTTTAGGCGGGCGACAACAGCCGCCGCCGCAGCCTTCAAGTGTGCAACAAAAAATTTGCTTAATCTCTGCGCCCGAGCAACAAACTAAAAAGTTATAAAAACTCACACACACACCAACACACATGCATCCACAGACACTGGCGAGCTGTGTGCAGAGTAAGATATAAAAAGATAAAGTGTCTGCCCCGCACCACAGCCGGCCCCCATTGGCGGGACAAACTTGCGTTATGAGGCTCGACCAAGCGGCAAGGCGACTCGATGACTCGCAGCTAGACGGAGACTGCGATGCAGATTGAGTTTGAGTCATGAGTCCTGAGTCCTGAGTGGAGACTCTAGACAAAGTCTGAGATTAAAGCAGCCAATGAGTTTCAGTCTCATCATGCAGCAACTCATCTGCACATAAACGCAGAGCGAGAGAGAGAGAGAGAGGGACTGAGAGAGAGGAAGAGGCAGCAGCAGGATTTCCCTCACTAAAATTAACCGGGTAAGCCCCGTGGGCACTTAAGTCGGCATCAAGTCTAGCAATAAAATCATCTAACAGACACGATTCACACACACACACACACACACACACACACACACACAGGCACATGTATGTATGTGGCAATAATTTATTCGCCTGCACTTGAGAAAGAGTCCTCTTTGGCCTTCGCGCTCCTGAAACACTTTGGCTGCGTGGCCTCAATCGAATGCATGGGAAAACCTTTAAATTCTCAGAATATTCGGAATAAGCCTGGCGATTCCTGGTATTAATCTAATTATGCGCGCTTGTATCAATTTGTAATTACAGCACGCCACAAAGTGGACCTAATAAAAATTTTCCTAGAAATTATTTTGCAAATATACGATTAGAACATTTTTTATATGTTATTTGTATTTATTTATTTATTTAAGCAAAACAAATTTTGTTTGTAAAGGCAAATAAGAGAAACAGAATTACCCATAATTGAATAATCTGACTGTAAAAATAAATAGCCAACTTTTTGTGCATATATATTTATTTATATATGTGGAAGTAACTAACTTTATCAATTTTCAATTTACAATAAATTTCCAATTATAATAAATGCCATTTAGATCTTGATAAAAACTTCCATGAGTGAAAGAACCTATCACAAATGGGGCTTACAATAAATATGTTCATTCGTATATATGTATATCAGCCATCTAAGTTTTCTTAACTTTCCTCAGCTGTTTTCATAAGCTTTTCAAGAACCAATTTCAACTTTGGTATATTGTGAAGCATACGATATCCTGGGGCAGGGTCGACCGATGCCGAGTCGAGGGTCAGTCACTGCTGACAACAAATCGACACTTTTCGTAATTATGATGGGCATGTTGCTGAGTCGAGATGAGCTCAACTGAGCTCCTGATGAAGGCTGGGGCTCCGGCCTGGTCATGGTCATGTAATCTCAACTAAACACCACAGAGCCGGACACTCCCATCAAATAGCTGTCGAGATGGCGCTAATAACGATGACGGACACCCACTCGGCGTAGTCCGCCTCGCTCTGTCCGTAATTTGTGTAATAATTGTGCCTAAGCGTTTAAGTCGAGCGTGCCAGTGGAGCGGCTAACCAGTGGCATCTCCAGGGAGTTGGGGCACTTGTCTGACAAGCGGTAGATATAGGAATGAAGGAGAGAGAGAGTGAAAGAGAGAGGAAGGTGTAAGGAGTGGGGAGAGAATGAAAGATGCAGAAGCTCTGGCAGCAGCCAAAAAGCCAAGCAAAACAACAATGAAGCATGGCAGCGAAATGCCTGCGGCTGTGGGCAAGCGAATGAGTTAGTTACTCGCGAATGCCGCGCCACACTTTCGTCCAGGGACCCAAAGGACCCGCCGGGCAGGCAGAGCAGTCAGTTTTGTTACAAGAATTCAATGGTGCTCGACGTGCTGCAGAATTTGATTAAACAAAAGTAAAAGTTTTCATCTCGAGCTGCCGAGCAACAGCAACAGCAGCGGCAGCAGCAGCGGCAGTCGCCTTTGTTGTTACTTATATATATATACTTATATATATATATATATGTGTGTGTGTGTGTGTGTATGTCCCGGGAGTGGCTGTTGTTGCTGCTGTTAGTACAATTGTAGTCGGAATTGTGGCTTCCAGCGTTCCGTCCGCCACTTTCATGGCCAACAATCGGAAAAGTCAACAATCAACATCAGCTGGCAATTGGTTTAAAGCACCCCAAATACTCTGTCACACACGACCTCTTAATTTAGCTGTAAATGTAGCTGAAGCAGCGACAATAGCCAGCTTGGCTGCAATAATATCTCTTCAGACGGAATCAGCTCTGGCTTTGTGTGTCAGAGCTTCCCACATAATACTTGTACCCGATTGGATTGCCTGGTCACAAGTCAAATTTTCCAGCTTTTTCATCAAATTTTCAAGCACGTTGCCCGGGCTGGCCCGGGCTGGCATTGCGCCTGGGCTCCGCATCCACCCCACCCCTTGCCCAACTGTTACATTTTCAACTTTCTATTTTTGACTTTTTCCCATTGAGATTTTCGCCTTTTATTTGCTGTTATTTGTGATTTTGCCATTTACAATTTTAATTACCCTTGATAATAATTATTATTGTTTATGCCTCGGACGAAGCCATCGAATCGTCCTTTGTTGCAACTTTTCACTCTGAATGCAACTTTTGCCTGCCAGTCGAGTGACAGCAAAACAAAAAAAAAAAAACAATAAAAATGGGAAATACTTTCCGAATAAAAGTCTGAAGTTTGTTTTTAATGAACTGGAATTCTTTAGTGGAACAAAGCGAATAATTTCAGCTAGTCAACTATAATAATTGCCATCTATTTTTAGTCTATGAAGCTCAAGTGCATAAAACGTTTATCGCATATTTAGTTGAATTATAACTTTAAGGCTCTAATAAAAGGGAAATTTCACGAATTTCGCAAAATAAATTATTAATTATTTTAATTTATATATGATTTAATTATTTTATATATATATATTTTTCTGATCTTGCAATAATAATATTATATGTAAAAAATATTATTTATACAATAATCAAAGTTATATTTTCATTAGAAATATATTACTTTCTGTTCTAATACAGTTGCTTGCTTTAAATTATGTTAGTTTCACTTTTCATTAATGAGAAAATCACAATCAAGTACCTAACTGAGGTTGCTCACTTGAAGTTAGAGGTAAACCCCATTAAACGGTCATAAATGGCTGCACTTATGGCACGAATTTACCTTGACAAATCAAAGCAAATCATATTCCTCATATCTTGTCTCTGATGACATTTACCGTTGTCATAGATCTCAGAAGCATGCCGAACATAATTCTGTTAGCCAAGGCATGCCTTCTGCTGTCGACTCCCCGACTTGACCGGGGACCGTCTGTGCCTCGGAGCATATGTCTGCGAAAATATGCAAAGCAATTCTCACACAGTCAGCTAGCTGAGGCGAGGCGTGCGCTGCCACGCCCAGCCGCCCATCAAATTAATATTATTACCAAGTACACAAAGAGATACACGGGCAGCGGAAAGTGAGAAGTATTTGATATGCGGCAAATGTAGCGCCAAAAAAAAAAAAAAAAAAAAAAACAAGGAAAAAAGAGATGAAAAAAAAAACGAAATAAAAATCAAATTGGATATTATGCAAACTTACCCGCTGTGGCACAGTGGAGCAGCTGCGGCTGCAGGCTGACGGCGAGGACGAGGCAGAGAGAGAGGCTGGCGAGGATCGGTGTTGGGTGCTGGGAGCGCATGGTTCAGCCGTGGCCCTCTAATAGAATGCCAGGCAAATTAATAATCCGCGTGCTCCGGTCGTACGCCGTCTGGCTGCAAATCGGCTTAACTGGGTCACATCTGCCGGTAGGCAGCACCGCAGCACCACACGAGCCGCTCACCAGCTGCAGCGCCTCTGCTGCGGGTTATGCGGAACACTTTCAGCGCTCTCCTGGCGAATATTGATATAGTTGCTGTTCGGGCTGCTTATTATGGTTAGTTGGCTCTGAGACACAAGCAGTGGCTGTCCAGTGGTTAGTCTAATGTGTGGTGGTGCAGTGGTGCGCTGCTCTCAAATATCGGTTGCTCTGCCTTCGTCTAGTTCTCACACACAATTGGGGGCTTAGCATGTTTCACAATTGCACTCGACCAGATGCCACAGCTGCAACAACAGAAACACAAACTTAAGAGCCGTGCAACAACATGTGGCAAGTTTTAAATATTCTCACAATGCATTGTTTTTGCTTCGTTTGTTTTGTTTTTCGTTTTTTTCTATTTTATGGCAAACGTTTTGCGCAAAATCCTGTCTTGATATGTTTGTGTGTTTGAGTTTTAGGTTAAGTTATGTGGCCAACAGCATTAGTTGGCCAGGACATTCCACGAAACGTAAGCTCAACTGACAGCTCAATAAATATGCCTTGTGAGACAATTAATACTGTCATTCACAATAGAGTTTTACCTTCTCTTAAACTAGTTTTAAATGACTTATATGACATTCATTATAGCCAAATAAATTGCTAGACTATCTTAACTTTTGTTAATCTAATATCTAGTGGCATTCAAATTAGCAATACATTGCTTTATATGTTCGTCTTATGCAGCGCGTACTGTAATTATAAAAGCTAAAATGTTGTTTGCTTTTGTTGGCTCTTCGCTTTAATAGTTGAGAGCTTCCGGAAATTTCCAAGTCTATAAGTCTATTTACAAGTTTCGCTGGCAAATTGACAAAGTTTACAAGTTGCGTTTATGTTAGGTAATTACAATCAATTCAGCAACATTTTAATACTTCGATAAGTATGCCCTGACGCTCACACAAACTATCTGCAAATTTATGAAGCGTTTGAGTTTAAAGGCGCGGCGCGAGTTTCACAACTGTGAGCTACTTAGGCGTGTAATGCTGTTATTATAACTGTACACGCGCATCTACATCAAGCTACTGAAATAACTTGCAAGCCGTATTAAATTGTCAAATACGCGGATGCGTTTTTATTAAGATTTCGAAATACTTTGCGCTGAAAAGTATGCTACAAAAAGCTGATATTAATTTCGCTAGTCAAATTCGTGTTTGGCATTGAATACTGTGATTACATAGCTGGCTGCCATCGAAAAGGCACTCGGCATTCTTCAGCTGGCGCGCTTCTCTAAGCAAAAATGTGAACTTGTCCAGAAATTCCGGCACTAGAGCACGGCAGCTCAGGGCTGTGCTGAAAAGTATGCTAGAGAAATAGGAAAAATATTGCGAATTGCTGGCGAAAATGCTTTCGGGCCCACATAAAGCAATGAGCGTGTATGTGGGTGTGTGTGTGTGTGTGTGTGTGTGTGTTTGTATTTGTTTGGGTGCTTGCACGAGTGAGTGTGTGTGTGTGTGTGTGTGTGTCTGTGGAGGCATTCCATTTGGCCAACTGCCGCTGCTGCTGTTACCTCATCTTTCTTTTACGCTCGAGACTATTTGGCATTAACGAAATTTATTTATGCGGGTGTTTAGTCGGGCGTAAAAGGTGTACATATGGCCAGGCAAACACGCCCCCGCACACCTACTCCGCCAGGGAAAGAAAGAGAGAGCGAGAGTGAGTGAGAGTGAGAGCGAGAGAGAGACAACTTAGAGATGCACGACACGCGTTTACGAATTGAAAGGATTTGTCTGCCTTCTGCTTGGGCTTAGACTTGGGCGCGTTGCCAGGAGCCAGGTTCGAGTCGGGGCTCTGCGCTTGACCCGGACTCTGTTTGCAGCTTGTACCGAAAAATAATGATTTAAATGCCCTTTGTTTCTGCAATACACTACAAAGCAGGCCACGATGTGGGAAGGGCTCTGAGAAATGCCAGGCATACGTAAGTAATGCCAAACGCTTTCCAGCTGGTTTAATGAAGCGTTAACGCAAATGTTAAACAAATGTTATGTTCTGGCCGAATGAATTGTATGCATTAAGGAGTTGCTCGATGCTGCCATGTAGCACTGTCAATGTTGTTGTTATTGTGATTATTGTTTGTTGCTGTTGTTGTTATTGCTCTTGATAACGTAAATAATGCTAAATTGATTGCACAAACAAAGCAGCAGCGGAAGTGTAAATGATTTAACACAACTTCCCACCGCTCGCAGGACTTGTTCTTCATTCATTCAATTCCTGACCTCGGTTTACTGTGCTCCGGCTGCTGCTGCTTGTACGTCTGAGGCAAAGCAAATAGCTAAGAACGGAAGATGAAATTTGCTGGCCGCCGAACCGGAAACAGAAAATTCTTTTACTTGTAATTTAGTTCATTTGTCGTGGACATCATATATACATATATAAATAGTATATGTTGAATGTATATATATATATATTTGTTATTGAAAATTTTATTGCTGCAAGCTGTGTCTCATTAATAAATAATTCAATTCAATAAATGCTTAAATTACATTTCCTGAAGCACACACAAAACTGAATAATTAATAAGAATTTGTAAGCATTTTTTCAATTATTAAGAATTTAAGGGCAGCTGACATATGATATCCTTTGTGAATTCCTTCAGTTGCCAAATACTTATGCCATTTTATATATGTTAACTTATTTTAGCAATATTCATTATGTATAATTACTAGAATTTAATCAAAGACTTTTGTTAAATAAACAAGCAACAAATTGAAAATATATTATTTAATTTAAAATCCTCACATTCATTTAATTAAAACTAATTTGTTACACATTATTGACTATAAAATGATGTATGTTCATTTAAATATTTCCTTTTGTTGGTTTATTTAATCTTTTTTTTTTAACTTCACATATATATATAAAATTTGCAATTCTGTTTGTAATAATTTATAAATATTTTTAGTATTTTAATTTGTTTATTACCACTTTGAATTGTCTATAATATTTTAAAATGTCACACAGTTTATTGGACAAATCACATTGATTCAAATTGAATCTTGTATTCACACTATTTATTCACTTGCTTAACTCCGACTCACATCGCAGCTGCGACTCGCAAAACGATGCGCACGCGACACCGGCTAAAAGTAGACTAAACGAAGCGAAGTGGTCGTGGCAGATGCTGCTCGGCTAATATAACCTAACAGCTGTTAAGCCAGAGAGTGCGAGAGAGAGAGAGTTAGCTAACAGCAGCATTTCTTTTAGCAGAGTCTAACAGAACATGCACAACGCAGTTAACGCAGCGACTGCAGTCCGCTGTTAGTTAACATTCACAGCCGAGTGAAACTCTCTCTCTCTCTTTCGATAACAGAGCTCACTCACTGTTAAAGGGTTAGCTAAGCTGCACGCACAAAATGCAGTTATTGTCCTTAAGCGCCTTAGCCGTAAAATATTTATTTATTCGGGTGAATTAAACATTTCAGCAAAAGTGCCCATTAAGATTTTAACAGCAAAGTATGTTGAGCCCTTTTAGTTATCCCAACCTCTTGCAAGGGACTAATCATAATTATCATAATCATAAGCACAATTAATCCCCTGCTGAATGACAATTTGGCAAAACGGATTGAAAGAACAAAGCAGAGACACAAACACACAGGCAGCTGTTTAACAGCGCGATAACATTACTTCTCATTAATGTCTGGCAGAGCTGGCAAATTGGGCGGCATACACAATGGAGCCATAGAGCCGATAGAGCTGTGAAATAAAATGGAGAGCTACTGCCTAGAAGCTCTGAGCCAAAATAACAAAGGCAAAAGCAAAGGCAAAGCCAAAGCCAAAGCCAATGGCAAAGGCAATGGCAAAGGATAAAGACAATGCGAGCAGCAACAATAGCTGAACGCAGGAAAATGCAGGAGCATTGAAACTAGGACACACGCAGGCAACAACAACAACAACAACAACGGCGACAATTGAAAACGTGCGTCGCAGGACGACTGGCAAGTGCAAAGCACAAGGATAAGCTTAATATGCCAACATAAACACACACACACACACACACACACACATCGACGCACGAAAAGGCAACAGAAAGAAAACAAAAGTCGAAATTTATAATGCAGACATACACAGGCCATAGATGTCGCCGCGCCAGAGCAGGAGGCAACGAGCCGAGATTGGAGTGAGTGAGTGAGTGAGTGAGTGAGCGAGTGAGTGAGAGTGAGCGAACGAGAGTGATGCTGATTTGAGAACAATGCATTAGAGCGGTCAGGGGCGAGGCGCAGCCTTTGCATAAAATTCAATTTGTCGTGTGCAGCAGCCATGAATATGCCGCTCAGCCGAGCTTAAGCTGCTGCTGCTGCTGCTGCTGCTGCTGCTGTCGCTGCCGCCGCCTGCAGCTGACACTGAAGCCCACATTTGGCTGTCGGCTAGTGTATAACATAGCTCACAGCCCACACACACTCGCACTCTTCATTTTCTTCTTTTTCTTACTCTCTTTCGCCCGCTCTACACAGCTGCGATTGATGTTATTGTTGTTGTTATTGTTGTTGTTATTGTTGCTGTTGCTGCTGCTGCTGCTGTTGCGTCGCATGCAGCGGGCTCTGGTGCAACATATGCGCGAAATTACTTACGAGGCGTCGCTGTCGCCGTCGCTGTCAGCGTTAGCGTCGCTCCAACTATTGCTGTCATTGACAGCAGCGCTGGAACTGGTTCTGGTTCGCCTGCTGTTGGCTTGTAAAACAATGGCATGCATTTGGCGGCAGACAAGACACATGCAGTTATTAACAGAGTACGCACACACTGACACACACTTATACACGTTTTTTGCACTCATTTTCAACAGTTAAAACAATTGCGCACAACGTTGGTAAATTAAAAACTTTTTCACTTTGTTTACCATTATTTAATTTTTTCTTTCTTGTTTTACCTTTTTTTTTGTGGTCCACAGTTGATAATTATAGAGATCCTAAAACGTTTGCCGCAGCCACAGCTGAAGTGGCCCATTATGTGGCATCAAATGAATGATAATCAGCCGGCTGATAGGACCCAAGAGGGGCAAGGGGCGTGGCTAGGCATGCCTGGCATTGTGCTTGTCATATGCTTGGCCACAGCATGTCCAAAGTTTTAAGTGAGTTCCCAGTGTGTGCTTGTGTGTGTGTGAGAATGAGAGAGTGTTGGGGCTTATGCGTTGCTCTGTTTAAGCCAGTTTAAGTGTCATAGCAGTTTTTCAGAGTGCTGCAGTGTGACACAAATATAACGCATACGTCATGTGTGGCAAGCAGAACAAAGTTAAAGTGTCCTCAAGTCCAACTTGTTGCCTTTTCAATATGAATATTTATTTCAATTAATAATTTAAAAGCTTTCCAGCAGCAGCCAGCCTTTTGATGAATCTTCAAGACATACGTACTTTGGCTTGTCATACTCATAGCTGAAAGTAAACTCTACTTGATTTAAGGCATAATGGGATTTGCGTGCCTCTTTAACAAATACTTGGGCAAGAGCGAAGCACTTTGCTCTGTCTCTCAATGGAGCTCAATTAAGTAGCTCTTAAGTGTGAGTGTGGGACTGGCTGCGCTGGGTGCGCAACTTCTGCACACCTTTCGCTTTCACAAGTCATTAATCACAGCAGCGCAAAAAGAGGGCAAACTTTAAAAGGCGAGTGGATCGCTAAGAAAAAAAAAAATAAATTGAAAATTGCATGCAGATACGCAGCAGAGATAAAAGAATGTGCGCTCAAATGGCTTAGCTGACTTAATTCGATTAAAGCAGAACAAACGCATTTCTGATTACAAAGAAACTCAAACGAGCATCGAATGGAGAAGGCAGCCCAGAGAGAGAGAGAGAGAAAGAGAGAGAGAGAGAGTGAGTAAGACGGACAACAATTACGCTGCAAATGAAGTTGTCATTGAGTTGGGCATTGGCTGGCCCTTAATTACGTTAAGCTCTAGCGCACAAAGAAGATGGCATGCGAATATTACGTATACGTGCCATCGTACACCGTCTACCCTTGGGGTGAAATGCAAACAATTCACGTCAATTAATTGTGGCTAGCCAGCGAACCGGTGAACACAAAGCCCTGACTCTAGCTCGACAGTAGTGCATCGCACATGGACAGCTACATGGATTATGATTAGCTCGGCCAAACAGACGGCCCCGAGGCGCAGGCTCCAGCAGGAGGAAATCTGCAATTGAAAATCGAAAACTGAGAGCTAAAAGCTGATGGCTGAAAACAGAAACAACAGCAGCTATAGCAACAGCCAGACCAAAAATAACTGGCAAAGACTAAGCTGAGTCAAAGTTGCAATGCAAATCCTCTCTGATACGGCCAGCCCCTGGCCTATTGCATGCGGCATGCGGCATGCGTCTAATCGTTGCTTTGGCTACAATTTCAGCCAGAGATAGGCGCAATTAAGTCAAAAATTTATTTGATGCCCAATCTGAAATGGACACGAAATCGAGCTGCATGCTGGCCAAATAATCATGGCCATTGTCTCGATTGTTGCTGCAGCTGTTGTGTCTGTCTGTCTGTCTGTGTGGCACATGAGGCGTTGTTCGAACTGGCTGCGAGACACACTGCATTAGCTTCAAGTGCAATGTGACAGCGGCATCGAGTCGAGTGTCAGCATTACTACCAGCCAGCCAGCCAGCCAGCCAGCCAGTCATATACTCGACTGTCCGTCCGTGCGGCCTGCTCTGTAGCTACCTCTGTGCTGCCAGCTAAGCTCTCGGCATCTGTCAGATATGCATGCTGACGGATTGATCCGGCACTCAGCACGACGCTCCACCGCTGAAGTGGGGCAGCTAAACGCTGCATGCATATTGCAGGCTCTGCTGTCCCCTGCGAGCCACTCGTCATGCGGCATAAATCAGCTGCAATTGTGGTGCAGGCAAACAATTTAATTGGCGATTAGTCCAGCTAATAAGATTGACTGAAATGCAGGCAGGTATGCAAATGAACAAATCGGAAAATATATGCAGAGAGTATGATATATAGGGGAAGAATACAATATGGAAAATATATAAATAATTACGTAAGCTGAGCTTTCACTTCAAGCACAAGGACTTTTATGTAGATTTATGGCTCGCTCAATGAGAACAACTTTCATTAAACTCCAATTTAATTTCCAATTGTATGCAGAGCATGCCATTCAGCTGGTAAAGCCGCTGGTAAACTTGTAAGCCCCATATAAGTAGCTTACACACAGTTCACAATCGAATGATAGTGAAAATGTTTTACAAATTTATCCTCTTACTCACTCCACTCTATTCTCTGCTACCTCTCCCTCTCTCTCTCTCTTTCTAACTCTTTTAGCAACAATAACGCATTTACACTTTCGGCCAGAGAGACCCCGCATAGGGCAATTGGATATCATTAATGCGGTTAAATTGTATAACCCACTGCTGTCAGAGGCTGCTTACTGGACCAAAACCAGACTGTGTATAAGTATAGGGCATGTATGTGTGAGTGTGTGTATGTGTGTGTTAGGTTTGGGAATTCTCTCTGTCAGGGTTTCGCATAACAGACATGTTCCAAGTGCCAAAAAAAGTCTGGCCAACATTTTTGGCTTTGCTCTTGCTTCAATTTTCCCTTTTAGTTTTCCTTCTTCTTTTTTTTTTTTGCTACACATTTAGCCGCAAGCCCAGACAGCCCTGGCTAAAAGAAGAAGCATACAACAACAACTCTGTTGTGTTGCTCTATTTGCAACATTTATGCTGTATGCTGTCGGTCGACTATGTCTATGTATGTGTGTGTGTGTGTGTGTGCTGGTCATTTTATTGTTTCCAGTCAAAATGGTCAAATGGAAATTTTGTTTTTAGCCCTTTCTTTTTTGTACGTTGCGATTTGCCTATAGATTTAGATTGAGCTGTCGTAGATGTTATTGAGGATTGTGCCGCCGTAACGAAAGGCCAGCAGAGGCAGCCAGACGGACAGTCGAACAATCGGATAGTCGGACAGCAACAGATATCGCCTGGCCATATCATGTTAGCTAAAGTTGGGTCGCTGTAAACCGAGTGATTAGAATAATCGCCGCTGGTGCCTTGGGGCCGTCTCCATGCGTACCCTTTGATATCGAACTAAATCCAATTCGTATTCAGCGTTGGCTCATAAAATTTCCAAGCCTTCAATTGTCAGTTTTTGGCACTGCTTAAACATTTTTATTACTCTCGCATGGGCTTAAGAGCGAAAGCTCTCTATTCCCAGGCAAAGTGAATTTTATGGCTTGTGCATTTTGCTCCAAAGGATCGATTTGGGCATTTTGGCCAGGCCAAAGTAGTCTGAAAGATAAATACATAAATATAAGATTACATATATATACATATATATAACAATTCATATGTATATATAATACATCTATATATTACATATACATTTATAATATTAGATATTTCATTATTGGTAATTAACTCGCAAGTAGCTGAAAGATATGTATGTATATATATATGTATATTTTTTTTCCAAACATGGAAAATTTATTCAACGCCTTTCCACTCGCTCTTCACAGTTTGCGCTGGTTTCGAGGCGATGCGACAAGAGGCGATGCTATAATTAATTTTCAAATTCAAGCATGTCCTACGCCACAAGTCGTCGAGCTACAGGGGCGAAGTGGGGTGATATTTAAGGGTTTGTTTGCACAGCAAATGCCGCCACAATCGTATAATTTTATTCAGATTTCGCTGTCAAAGCGCGAGCTGCAAATTTAGCATAGCTGGCAATTTGCTTGTCTGGGCTGTGGCTGTGTGCGGGGGGCGGGAAGATATATTATGAATGTGTCTGTAGTGCCACGCCTTGCAATTTATTTTCCATTGCGTAAAAGTGTCCAAAACTGCAAGTCGCACATTTGTTTTGGTCCCTCATGAGTTTTACGCGCAGCAGCAGATAAACGCAAGGTAAGGCAGTCCGCGAATATACTTTATTTATGAGTTTCGAGAAATTCAACAATTGCTAGATATATGGAAGAGTTACTTCTGGGCGACGCCCAAAATCTTCTCTATTTCGCAAATGCGATCCAGCACCTCCTGGTTGCGAGCTCTCTGATCCTTCAGCTTGTCGGATATGGCGTCTAGGGTAGCCGCAATGGCCAGCAGCGATAGATCTGTGGTATTCAGATCCCTGCGCGTCGGATGTATCTTTGCCACGGGCACAACTGCCGACGGATCCACATCTGAAATTGGTTGAATCAATAGATCTATAAAAAACTGTGTGAATACAATTGACTTAAAGCAATATATTTTCAACCTGAATCGGAAACAACTGTTGAATCCTCAGCCGATACTTGATCTGCCGCTGCTTCTGGGACGGCTTCTGAAGTCACCGCTGGATCTGCCGCAGGTGTCTCCACTTCTGCTACTGGAATTTCTACTGGAGCAGAAGTCTCAATGGCAGTGGCTGCCGCAGGCTCTGCAGCTGGAGATGGAGTCTCTTCAGGATCTACTTGAGTTCCCTCAGGTTCGGCTGTCGCAGCAGGAGTCTCCTCAACAACCGCTGGAGTTGGCTCTGAACTCTCTTCGGCAGCCACTGGAGCTGCTGCAGGCTCTGATTCCGGAGCAGGAGTCTCTTCCACTGGAATTGCCGTCGGCTCTGCAACTGGGGCTGAACTCTCCTCGACAGCCACTGGAGATGCAGCAGTTTCTGAGTCTGGAACTGGGGTCTCTACGACAGTTGTTTGAGTCTCTGTGAGCTCTGTTGCCGGAGTTGGAGTCTCCACTGAGGCTGCCACTAATTCTGCAACGGGTGCTAAAGTCTCCTCAGATGGAGCTACCACAATAGCTGCTGGCTCTTCTTGAGTCTCCATGACAGCTGCTGGCACTGATGGAGTCTCTACAGGGACTGAAGTCTCCTCAGCAGGAGTGGCCGCAAGTTCAGAAGTCTCCACGACAGCGATGGGTGCCACGACCGGTTCCGGTATTGGGGCTGCCACAGTAGCCTCTACTGGTGCCGGAGTCTCCACAACTGCTGCAGGCACCTCCACTGCATCTGCTTCCGACACAACTACCGGAGTTGCTGCCTCCACCACATTTGATTGAGTTTCCGTCGGCTCTGTTGCCGGAGTTTGTTCCTCTACGACAGCCTCTGGAGTCTCCAAGACTGCTACGGGAGCTCCGGCTATCACTGGAGCTGCTACGGGGGCTGCCGTCGAAGAGGGAGTCTCAACTACAGCTTCTGGAGCTACCGCTGACTCAGCTAATGGCACTGTAGTCTCCGCGACCGCAGCAGGAGCTGCCAATTGCTCAGTTATCGTAGTTGCCACTGCTGCTGTTTCGGGTACTGCAGTCTCTATGACTGCTGCAAGGGCTTCCACCGATGCAGAAGCTGCCACTGTTGCAGATGGAGTACCCACAACAGATTCGGGGGCTATCACCGGATCATTAACTGGATCAGCAACAGGAGTTTCAACGTCAGCTGTTGGAGCTGCGGCCGGCTCAGCTACCGGCGCTGTAGTCTCCACGACCGTATCAGAAGTTGGCGCTGCTGCTGGAGCTGCAACTGGTGTTACTTCGGCTAGGGGAGTCTCCACAACGGTTGCAGGAACTGCGTCCTGTATTACTACGGGCTCTGGAGTCTCTACAGCTGTTGCGACGGTTGTGATGGCGTCAGCTACAATTGCCACAACCTCTGCTACTGGTGACGCAACAGATTGTGCGGCTGGTCCTGGAGTATCCACAACTGGGTCTGCCGCCTGAGTTACTGGGGTTGCTACCGTTGATGCAGCTGGAGCGGGAACTGCTGCTGAAGCTGGTGCTGGTGCTGGTGCTGCTGCTGGTGCTTCTGCTGGTGCTTCTGCTGGCGTTGCTGCTGGTGTTGCTACCGTTGCATCTGCTGGTGTTGCTACCGGTGCTTCTGTTGGTGCTTCTGCTGGTGCTTGTGTTGGTGCTTCTGCTGGTTCTGCTACCGGTGCTTCTGCTGGTGCTGCTGTTTTTGCTGCTGCTGCTTCTGCTGCCGGTGCTTCTGCTGGTGCTGCTACCGGTGCTTCTGTCGGTGCTTCTGCTGGTGTTGCTACCGGTGCTTCTGCTGGTACTGCTGTTGGTGCTGCTGCTGCTTCTACTGCCGGTGCTTCTGCTGGTGCTGCTACCGGTGCTTCTGTTGGTGCTTCTGCTGGTGCTTCTGCTGGTGCTGCTGCTGGTGCTTCTACTGGTTCTGCTACCGGTGCTTCTGCTGGTGCTACTGCTGCTGCTGGAGCTGCTGCTACTGGAGTTGCTGCTGCTGGAGCTGCTGCTACTGGAGCTGCTGCTGCTGGAGCTGCTGCTACTGGAGCTGCTGCTGCTGGACCTGCTGTTGCTGGACCTGCTGTTGCTGGAGCTGCTGCTGGTGCAGCTACTGGAGCTGCTGCTGGTGCAGCTACTGGAGC